TTAAATAGTTAATATAACCTATTCATTTCCAAAAGGTGATATCACCTATTCGATTGGAATGAGTGATATCACTTATTCAAATAGGTGGTATCTCCTATTCGAACAGGTGATTTCACTTTTTGGCTGTAAAAACCAAAACGGCGCCTCATAGAAACACGCACATGTACATGTTCATTGCTAAAAGGGATTTATTAGGAGTTACAACCACGTTACTCTCTCCAATCAAAACTCGCCACCTTAAATACGAAAATTCATATCTCTCATAGTAGTGTAGATCACTTAATTTTTGCGACAACTTATTTTCGCGAGATAAGTCATTGACTCTTGATTAGCGAGACAAAATTTTCACGAATTGTGGTTATTGCTCTATATAAATGCTATTATACGCGAGAATTAAATTTTCGCGAGAACATTGTCTCGCTGTGTTTGCTACAATAATTTATTTGAACAAAAAATATTGGAGGAAAAACGTTACAAAATTGGTTTGAGTTCGACATATTTACAATGCAAAAAGGTCAAATTAAATGCTCTGTAGCGACAAAAGAAGCGCATTTACCCCCACTTTTTGTTTTGATTTTTAATAAAGCTGTGTGTATGAATTTTAAAAATATAATTGATAAATTTGATGCAGGATTCAACCTCCTTAAATGCCAACTATGGAAACTTACTGTATAAAATGTAATAAACAAATCCATGAATGCGCATATCTTTGCTCTAATAGCCTTAAAACATTTAAATTTCTATACATGTATATTAATTGTTTTCCTTTAATGGGGATAAAATAGTTTGTATTATTATTATAAGGTATAGTATAACTTTGATTTCGTTATTTAAGTTTAACTCTTTTAGAAATGAACATATCATATCATAAGGCTGCTTGGTATTACCCGTAAGCATTCGCCTAACGAGAATATTCCTACCAAAACGAATGTTTTGCATCAAAAAATGACAAGGGGTCATTATTCTATGGGGTCATTTTTCGACAATGCACACGGAGAAAAACGACCCCAAGGCCATAATTTCTACGAAAAAGTGGGTCATTTTTCTACGTAGAATATTGATCAGTGGGTCAAATTTCTACGTAGAAAAATGACCCCCGGTCAATATTCTACGGGGGTCACTTTTCGTCGTTACACCGGATATCCTTTCTGTATACTATAGTACGTTTCAAAGTAACCACGACATCTTCTAAAAATAATTGGTACGTTTTTAAATTGTCACGATCATCTTTAGGCAGGACATAAAAAATAAACTCGCTCTTTAAATTTTCAAATTTATTTTTTAAAGAAAACTACAAAAATATACCTTTTTTCCTTGTACAAATCCTGAAAACAAAAGCAATGCTATACAAAAATGCAAAAAAAAAAAAAAAAAAAAAAAAAAAAAAAATCTGGGGTTTCTCCAATATTTGAATAAATTCGAATCAACACTACCTGAGGGTGCTTCCTTCTAAGTATGACTGGATGTGACTTTGCTGTATATTCATTGTAAAACTTGTATTTACTGTTACCCATGCGCGGATCTAGAGGAAGGGTCGGGGGGGTCAGGACCCCCCCTGGAATTTACCAGGTTAAAAAATGTATATACTAAAACAAGAAAAAAGTTACCATGGACCCCCCTGGAAAACGCTGACCCCTCCTGGTTAACGCGAATATGTGTGAAATGGGTATGAAAATTGAAAGATTTGAGGCAATAGAAGTCACCACTACCCCCCCCCCCCCCCCCCCCCCCCACGAAATAGGTTTTTGACCTTTGGGCGAGGTTTTAGTTGGTTTTTTTTTTTGCTTGTCAAGAAATTTCCGGGATTGGATTTTATTTTTTGACTGGGGTGGACCCCCCCTGGAAAAAATTTCTGGATCCGCGCCTGTTACCCCTCATCTTCCCTTGAAACAAAATGCCGCATACTAGTACTGAGTATCTACACCACCTGAGGATGTTTCCTTCTAAACATGGCTAAGCTAGCATAGCTTTGCTGTTCATAGTTTTTTTAGTTAGATATAAACAGACTTTTAACCTCGGCAATCTTTTGAATGGTTGGTGCCATGTGCTAGGGCTTTTACAATTCACTTGTGTATTTATTGAGACAAATAATATTTGGGTAAAATAAATTTTGACCTTGTAATTAAAAACTTTCACTTTGGCCATAACTTTCGGACGGTTGGTGCTTGGGCTACTCTTTTTGATTTCTTGACCTTGGAGTTTAACTTGCATAAACTTGAACATTAATTCTTCATATCTACGAAGGGTGATTAAAAAGTTCGCAAACTAATTGAATAACTTCCATACAAGAAACAATATTTGGTTTTAATGTTGATTATATTTTAAATTAATCCTCCCGAATTTTAATGCACATCAACCACCGTTCTGCGCATGCGCGAATCACGTGATATTGGCGGTCACGTGACCCCCTTCGTAGCGTTCTGTCACAAAAGTTGAAAGATTTTTCCGAGTTTTATATTTCTTTCCTTGTGAGTTAATTTTTATGACAAGTCCAGTTCATTTGTCAGAAATGGTCATATCTCGGCAACAGAATGGGTGGATAATAATGTCCTTTTCAAAAATAAGCATGGCGACCATTAAAACACAAATCTTCGGTCTCAGGAGAGACCTTTATTCAAGGTGGATAGAGAATGGGTGCATCCTTTTTATCATATCTAATATGTTTAAAATCTAAAGTAAACGATATCTTAGGTATTTAATACTTATATCATTGTTCAAATATTCAACTATTTTTCAAAGTGTTAATTGGAGGTCTTTGATAGCAAATTGCTTAATTAAAAATACATATATTTTCAAACTTGCTTTCACTGGGCAAGATGACAAGTATCATTTTTAACCATCAGCCTTCCTTCACTAAAACGATCAATCCAATCATTAATTGAATTCATAGGAACTCATTTATCTCAATAAACTGTGTACAAATTATTATATTTCTAAGGTACAGTCGTTTGTTTAACGAGTTCGACTAAGACAACCATTTTTCGTCACATGTGACCTAAATAGTGACGTCATTTTCACATCATGACGTCACAAACAAGAAGAGAAACTTTATTCAGCATATGCTATTTATAGACCTTGTGTATGGTTATGTGTTACTGAATTTCATTCTAATCTGAATTGTGGTTTTGTAGATATAGAGATAGTTTGCGAACTTTTTGATCACTCCTCGTACATGTACAAAAGCCACAGTTTTTAACAAACATAACTTGTACACATATCTGTTCCTTTGTGACAAGACCTTTCTTCGGTACTAATATTCTTGACCTCTTGACTTTGATCTACTTTTAAAAAACCTTTTCCTTGAGGATATTAGTGTTTCACATACTCACCTTTTTATGCAAAGCAATCTGACTCCAAAGTTTCTGTACACACTATATAATACTTGTACCCTTGTGTAAATGCCCCTGACGTTAAATAGTATCGACTGTTTTACTAGTAATTGTTACTCTTTAAACAATTCTAAACCAAAAGAAAACATGTTTGCATGAAGTTTCCAAGCATACAAGTTATTTCTGTTCACGAATAAAAAATCTGAACATTTTTGGAAATTGGTAGCCTAAGGTAGCATTATGTTGAAAATGACGTAGATAAACTATTCAAAACCCTCTTTTACATCAAGGTTAAATCCATTCTAACATGTACCCATATATTTTGTAAACAGCACTCTTATCCCCTTTTAAATTTGGAGTATATGTTTTTTCCCTGTTTTTCCGCAAAAAACTTTTACCTTGTCCACAACTTCTGAGTGGGTGAAGCTATGGCTTTCATATTTCACGGAAGTATCCCTTGTGACAAGACCTCCCTTTGGGTACCACCAATGTTAATCTCTTGATCATGGAGTTTGACCCACTGGGGTCTGCCACACTTAAATCTTGGCCATAACTTTGGAAAAGTTGGTTAATTCATGGGCGTTCATACTTGACGCATGTATTCACTGTGACAAGACCTTTCAATGGATATAAATATTTTTGACCTTGACCTTCGAGTTTGACCCACTTAAAAAACTTTAATATTGGTAATAACTTTTGAGCAATAATCACTAGGGTTTCTTTGATCCCGCATTGTGGCTCGACCCTACCCCCGGGGGGTCATGATTTGAACAAACTTAAATCTACTTCCATATTTCACAGGTGTTTTCCTTGTGACAAAACCTTTCTTTGGATAACAAAAAAAAAAAAAAAAAATTGACCTTGGCCTTTGAAGTTCGACTTTCATTCGAGACACTTTAACCTTCGCCATAAGCTGCCATACGGGACATGCATTTCACAAAGAAATCTTTTCAAAAAGAAATTACCAATGCCTATCATTTTAATCAAAATATATGGAACTTATCGGATACTGTCACCTTGCCTAGATGTCATTACTTAAGTTTTCAGTTTCTTAAAATAATTTTGACATTGATCGCAATTGTGACAATAGAGGAATATACTTATTTTTAAAAATACACCGAACTTACTCCTCGCTAACTCAGTTATTTTAAAACATCTCATTAAACAGTGCTCATGAATACTAAAACCATGCCTATGAAACCTTTTATAACCCCCTACAAAAAACGATTTCTCCGTGTACCTATAAACAGTTAACCATAAATCTTAAAAAAATATCTTTTTTTTTTTAAATAAATTATTCTTCAAAAATTGTAAGGTTTTTTTATATTGCATTTTTAAAAAAATCATATTAGCATACCTGAATTAACTTTACGAAAAATGTATCCCATGTTGTAACAAACTACTTACGAAATTGGCATTAAGCAAAAAAGTTTTGAACTGTGCAGAGAAAAATGTATGTGAATATACCACAGTTGCGCTTATATTTTGCAGGGATTTGTATGATTATAGACTGATAAAACATCATTCTAGTAGGTTATATTAGTAGCACTTATTAATAAGAACATCAAGGTAAATAGAAGCTAAAAAATACTGACATACACTCCCTTTCTTAAAATCTCGTATTTCTCGAGATTTACCGAGATCCTGAAATTGAATAGAATAACAAAGACATACATTTTATAAAATTTACTTCATTCTGCTGAAAAAGAACGACGAGGCCACCTCGCATGTCGAAGCTGAAAAAAAAATGCTTACCTAGCTCCGGTATGGTGAAACCTACAGTGGTTTTTCATGTAAATAGACATCACAAAACATAGAAACCATTTTATACAACAATTGTAGAGGTTATACATAAAGATCTTATACAGTTAATCAAAAGCATGCTATTGGTAGTGTGAACAGTTACACCTGAAAACGGCTTAAATGGTATACGTCTACAGCATTTAAAACAGTATTTACTTTATAGATAAAGCTTCTAATCACTTTATATACTACATTTAGATAAAAAGAACACTTCTTCAAATAAAATACTTCAACTTTCTCTTTGAAGATTTAACTTTACAGATTACGTAAAACTTAGCTCAACTACGTTCTCCTAAAGTTTAACAATAAATCTCTTTAATTAATTAATAATTCTAGGTAAATTAAAAGTGATTGACAAAATATTCATTCCACAACCTGTACATGCAAAGTAGAGCATCTGAAATAGTAGACTGATTTCATAGGAAATATTTTTTCATTGAAGCAAGATAATGATTATGCTGCTGTTCCTAGTAATGTGAAGTCATTTTTTTTTTTTTTTGGTGCAAATCATGGTTCATAGTAATATGAAGAATTCAATCAAATAAATTGAACATCACACTGAAATACATATTCCGAGTACCTGAAATAGAATGTCTTATACTACTGAAGCTTTAAAACTATTGACTAAATACTTTCAAGAGTTGACAAAAAAATGGTGCAAGATGAACAATCATATAAAGGATAAATCATTTATATAACTAAGCACTATGAAGGAATTCCTTGGTTGTAAACAATTTACACTTCCTAATTTGTTTCTAACAAAAAAGTATTTCAGTTCTTTGAAATAAAAAAAAATATCTTATTTCTCATGTATTAACATAAAAATTCTTTCTTAAAAACTGATTACCTTTACTTTTTTAAATTACTTTAGAACTTGCTTAGTAATTTGCTAGACAAAATATTAAAATACCAGTTTTGATAACTTTTGACTTGAGCTTAAGAAATGTTCCTGTTAAAAGCTGAAATGAACATCTGCTAAGAAATATGTATACTCTTTCTACAATAGATTAGTGGAGTAGTAGATTATTATGCTATTTTGGTATTTGCTTTAAAAAAATCACAAAAAAAGAAATTAAGGAATTAACTGATTTTAAAAAGTATTCTTTTGTTTTCCCATGAATTAAAAACAGCCATGCTGAAAACAATTTAATTCTCCTACATGATGACAAGTGTAAAAGCAACAACAACATAAAACCAACACTAATTTAAGGTCGTGGCCACCTTCCACCAGGTGGTCCTCCTCTAGGAAGTGGTGGTCTCATCGGCATTCCTCCTCCTCTTCCACCAAAAGGAGGTGGACCTCTTCCTCCGAATGGTGGTCTCCCACCTCTCATGCCTCCTTGATCACCAGGTGGACCTCGCGGTCTGAAATGAGGGCCAGGTGGAGGTCCGGGTGGGCCGCCTGGGGGAGGGGGTCCAGGGGGTCCGCCAGGGGGAGGGGGACCAGGTGGACCACCTCTTCCAGGGCCTCCAAATCTTTGATCTGGTGGAAGAGGTCCCCTTCCTCCAAAACGAGGACCTCCAAATCCATCAGGTCTTGGTGGGAATCCATCAGGACGTGGAAATCTGTCTCCCATTGGGCCAGGTGGCCTGAAGGGCAGTGGAGGTCTTTGTCCTGGACCAGGGGGCCCACCTCTTCCCATCATGGGTCTTGGGGGTCGTCCTCCAAATCCACCACGCTGAGGAGGGAAACCACCTGCATCCATTCTTGGACCTGGAGGACCACCAAAGTTCCCTGGGAACTGATTATTTTCTTGACCTTCGGGCCATTTCTCTTGCTTGATGCCTTCCTCTGAAGGCATTCCTGTTGGACCACCCTCAGTGGCTTGAGACTCCTGTTGCTCATGCTGTCTCTGAATACTTTGCTGAATTGCCTGAACTTTTGCCATCACTTCCTGACTCACACCACTCTCAGCTGCGGCTGCTGCATTACTGTTACTGTCGTCTGGGTTGTCCCATTTACTAGGTCTCTTTCTCTCCCTTCTTCGCTTGTCATTATTTTGGGATGAGTCCAAGGAGGATTTGTCAAAATCGGAGCCACCATATTCATTAGAATTTGAGTCCTGTCCATAATTTAGTCTACCACCAGAGTTGCCAGATTGGTTATTTTTCCCTTGGCCATAGCTTTCTCTCTGGTCTGCACTACTAGGTCTATTTTGATCTCTGGCTGATTGGTTTGGATTTAATGAATACTGAGGATTTGATCTTCCATATCCAGAGCCTTGGGAGGGGTTTGAGTGTGGGCGTGTTCGTCCTTGATGATCATTATAGCCTCCACGGCTATTAGGCCTGCTACTGCCCTGTTGCTGATTTTGATTTTGCCAGTTCTTTAAAGTCTCAGCAAGCTGTGCCTGCTGATTTGCTGCAGTCTGTTGTGCCAGAAAAGCATTAGCTGCTTCTGCCCTCATGGCAGCCTCTGCTAGATTTCTCTTCTCCTGTAAACCCTTTACAAGGTCTGGTTGAGCTGCAGCAGCATGAGCAAAGGCTTGGCCATAGCCTGGAATAACAGCTGCCCTCTCTGCTGCTCCTGCCAGCCCCGCAGAACTGATCAGCTGAAGATTAGATCCACCAAACGCTACAGGCTGCCCAGCCAAAAGATGACCTGGAGGTAGTCCCAACAGACTTTGTGTGTTTAATTGCTGGGGATCAATCCCAAAAGGAGCTGCACCTCTGGGCCACTGAGCTTCCTGTTTGATTTCTTTCACTTGCATAAGAGCTGCCATTGGTGGCTGTGACGGTTCATCATCTTCATATTCTTGTTTGAGTAAATCTAATGCACTGGAATTCCCACTGTTTTCAAACCTACCCCTTTTTTCTGGAGGTTCACTATCCCTTCCACCAGAAGCTGGATGTTTGCCTTGTCTTTCATAATCTCTGCTTCTGCTTTGTTGGCCATAATCTTGGCTGTAGGCGCTTTGTTGAAATCGATCTCCAAACTGATTTGGGGGTAATGGAGGGGCATTACTTGCTTGGTTTGAATAGGAGCCTCCCTGAATAAAACAAATATTCTATTACAAAGTGCGGGGGGTTAATGATCAGATAACAGCTGCAGTGATGTCTCCGAAATTGAGACTCTTTTTTTTTTTTTAAATTTATCTCTAGTAAATTTGAATCACTTTCAAATTAGAAAAATTCAGCTTTAATAGATTTTTTTTAAACTAAAAAAATAATTTTATCTTATCTTTTATTTAAATGTTATCAATTAAAAATGAATCTATAAAGATGCTTTTTTAAGAACTGCAGCTGCTATATACATGGAATTAGTCCAATCTCTACACACTTACATATCCATGTCTCACCTAAGAAACAGAGCATTTATTTCAGTCTTGTTTTGTCTTTAATATATTTATTGTGGTCTTGAACAAATAAAACCTTTTCTCCTAGCACTAGAGCCATTTAACAAGTCCACTATGCAGAAAACTTCATTTAAATTCACATAAAAAGACACCTTATTTTTATTGGGAAAGAATTGACAGTCACAACATCTACACCTTTGGAAAGTAAGTATATATATCTTATTTAACTTCATGAAATAGATTCTTATTTGGGATGATCCAACTCATGTATCCCTTTATGTAAAAAAAATAATAATAAAAAATGAGGGAAAAAAACATCAACATTCAGCAGTTGGCTGAAATTGGGATTAGTTGATAAAATTCTATCTATATATACATAGAATTGTCATGCAATATTCCTCCACCACAGGTATCACCTGCTAAAGCCTCCAGTCTTAATAAAGCCGCCTGTCTGAACCCCAAAACAAACGTCCTGACTCAGGTACAACAAATAGATAGCAACAACTCTTCACAAGGCATACTGCTTAATGGCCAAAAGAAATGCTAGGACTCTTTTATCATCAAAATATAATCATTGTTATGTAAAACTTTATTACTTTATCAAATGTACCCTTTCTTTTTCACAATAATTATTTGACACATTCTTACATTCTTTTAGGAAACATATCTTTGAAACATTCTCATTTAACTGGATATCAAAGTATCTTGATTTAAAACTATAGATGTTTACATCTGCTTTTACTTTTTAAGATAAACTTACAACATGTTAATATTTTTATGACACAGACTCATTAAAATATCATAGAGGAAAGAATCATATGTATTTGTTATCTTTGTTTTTTTTACTACCATTTTACCACTTATAAAATCATAAAGAAGAAATATTAAGAGCAGCAAGATAAGATCTATAAATGAAAGTCAATTAAGGTAGAAATGATATTAGAACACAGCCTAGGCACTATTATTAAGAAACTAGGAATGTTTCTGTTCAATATTTCTTTAATGGTTTTAAATAATATATCTTTATTACAAATATATTTTATATTTAGGTTATGTCATAATATCTATTACAATTATTATTTAAATATAAATATGTTTATTGTTTATCAGTTTTTCTTGTTGAAGTATTCATGCACAACATTTACATGAAAACACATTTTATCATATAAAACATTTAAGAATTAAACCAAAAAAAAAAGAAGTTAGAAGTTAAGGCAGTTTCAGGTACTCATCATGCTCAATAAAATCTTTTGTTGATATTTTCACCTATGTTATTACAGTAATACATCTGCCAGGAAAAAGGTGCAGAGGCTACATTATCAATAACAAAATGTGCAATTGTTATGTCACATCCTGTAAAATAATCATGTCATATGACTACAAAAAACTTTAATCGGAGGAATAAAATATTCAGCATTTCTTATCAATTCAAAAGTCTTGCCATATCATCTTTGAAAGCTATCATCATGCATTGTTCATATTCAATAAAACTTGGCATTAACTCTTATGTCTTATATATTTTGAAGAAAATAAACCAACCATCTAAGTACTGAATTTAGAGTTATACATCTTGATAATTTTTTTATTTAAGTTTTCTCTAAGAAGAACTGACTAGCACTGATAAAAAAATAAAACTAGTAAATCATAAAATAAAACAAATCATGTATCATTTATTTGCTTTAACTACATTTATGGAATTTTTTTGTATAAAAAGACTGTCTGATGAAATAAAGTTTGTAACTTCTTATATGTATATTTCTAAAAAATAGGAATTATATTGATTTAAAGAGCATATCAGAATTTCATTGAATATAAATATTTTTCTTTTGTGAAACGTCCTTTTTCTGTTTCTACTTCATACATTCCTTTATATGTTTTAATAAAAAAAAAAATTTCTCTCAATCTCTATAATATAGCAAATATTTGATAATATTTTCAGTGTATTTTAACAGTAAAATATAATGAATACATAGATGTATATTGCATTATTTTAAATGAATCAAAGTATAGGGTTTGACGTCAAAAATAGGATTAATTTAATAAGGGGTGTGTATGATTAACAGGATTAAGCCACTACTAGGGCGAGTCAGCTATCATAAAGATAAAAACCCTGAAAACAAGTCAAAGAAACATGGTCGTTTCACCATACTCTCCGTCGAAACCTAAACAATTGTTACCTAGCTACAAATGACAAAGC